ATATAAACATTAATAATAATAAGTTAGATTTAGATATAAATTTAACACATAATAATAGTGAAATAATAAGTAACTCAGATTTTAAGATAGCTACGTATAACGTACGAGGATTCAATGATACAGTTAAATGAAATCTATTTTTTAATTATATCAAAAATGAATAGTTTGACATAGTGGATATAGCAGAAACAAATTGTGGTGAAAGCAAGGGGCAGTGGTATAAAGACAATAAGGATAAATTTCGTATTCACTGTTCGGGTAACGGAAAAGGAACTGGAGTAGCCTTAATAATTTCAAAAACACTAAATAAGTATGTTTGTAAAAAAAGAGAATATGAGGGTAGAGCAATTTGCGTAGATCTAGTTCTTCCAAAAAAAATGACAATCTGCGTAATGCAAATTTATTTACCAAGTAAAAAAAAGTGACAAAATTAATGTAATTAACTGGATTAAAATTCAATTAAATGAAGCTCAAAGGAAAAAGAAAAAAGTTATCGTGATGGGGATTTTAATGCAGTACCGTCACCTGCAATAGATCGAAATAACAATAGTCACTTACAATTTCCAGAAAGTGAAATCTTCCCGCTACTAAGTAGTCATGATCTAATTAACTGCTACAGAATAATATTTTCAGAAAACACAGGGTATATATGGAAAAGAGATAATTCAAACGAGAAAAGTAGAATTGATGCAATTTGGATGTCACACAGATGGAGTGATAAAATTATGTCATGTTTCTTAGACAACATCAAATTGATAACAAGTAGTAACCATAAACTTTTAGGTGTGAAAATGTTGAAAAAGTGACAAATAAGAGAAAAAGATGAGGAAATTTATTCCAACAGACCTAAATATAATATGAAGCTGATAGATGAGAAACGATGGCTAAAATTTGCAGAGTTGGTAACTGTAGAGGTTGAGTCGTCAAAATTTTTCAATGGCATTAATCACCAGAAAAAGAGTTATAATACCTTCAATAAAAATTTCGTTAACACTAAAAAATATAATGATAAAAGCAGCAGATCAAATTATACCAAAATATAAGTGGAAAAAAAAAAAGAGATCGCTGACTCCAAATATAATCAAAGAATTTCGCATTGCAAAATCGTTAAATAAGGTATATAAACTATTTAACATGGAACGAGCAAAATCAATTAAAACAATTAAAAACAGTGAAACTTTTAAAAAAGAAGAAAGAAAACT